AAAATCCCTCACTGATCCCTCGCTGATCAGCAAGGGATCAGCGAGGGAATTGTCAAGAATTTATTTCCCTCGCTGATCCCTCGCTGATTTGTGAGGGATCAGCGAGGGAAATGTCAAAAATTAATTTCCCTCGCTGATCCCTCGCTGATCTGTGAGGGATCAGCGAGGGACATTAATTTTTGACAATTCCCTCGCTGATCCCTCGCAGATCAGCGAGGGAATTGTCATATTTTCATGATTTTCATGATTTTTATGTGTTACATGTACACATTTTTATATTTAGGTAGAGTATGTATACATGTGMATCTGTTATAAGTATATATGTCCGTCARCCCGTGTTATATACATATGTTTACAYGAYGTTGTATGTGTTATATGTATATATATACCCGTCGGTCAATGCTATATACATATATATACACAATGTGTACGTGTACTGGTTGGTAACCACGATTGGATCGATGTATATATGTTTAAAAATATGTGTATATGTGAGTGTATAGATAGTGGGTGTGTGTGTGTGTGTTATATGCGGATTTATTCGGCTTTATTGTGTCTTAATCAATTTACCGGATTATTTTGAGTTTATCGGACCTTAATGAACTTTATTCAGTTTTATTTGACTTTATTCGGTTTAATGGGCCTTAATCTAGTAGGCCCAATAAGACCGAATAAAGCCCATTAGGCCCAACATCTATATATATCGCGGTTAGCAACCACAACATATGCATATATATATATATATATATATATATACATACACAAAAAACACATATACATGCATACATACGACATCAACACATAAAAATGAGAAAATAAGAAAAATAGAAAAATCTCTCGTTGATCCCTCGCAGATCAGCGAGGGATCAGCGAGGGAATGTGAATTTTGTCAATTCCCTCGCAGATCAGAGAGAAATCAACGAGGGAATCTGAATTTTGTCAATTCCCTCGCAGATCAACGAGGGATCAACGAGGGAATCTGAATTTTGTCATTTCCCTCGCTGATCCCTCACTGATCTGTGAGGGATCAGCGAGGGAATTGTCCTATTGTCTTGATTTTCTTGAATTTTATGTGTTATATTTTTATATTTAGGTATCGTATGTATATATGCATGTGTTATAAGTATATATACCCGTTAGTCCGTGTTATATACATATGTTTACACGACGTTGTATGTGTTATATGTATATATACCGTTCGGTCAATGTTATATACACATATATACACGATGTGTACTGGTTGCTAACCACGATTGGACAGATGAATATATGTTTAAAGGTATGTGTATATGTGAATGTATAGACAGTGTGTGTGTGTGTGTTTGTTATATGCAGATTTATATGGTTTTATTGGTTTTAACCTATTTAACTGGGCTTTGTTCGGTTTTATTGGGCCTTAATCTATTTACCGGGCTTCATTGAGTTTATTGGGCCTTAATGAACTTTATTTATTTTTATTTGACTTTATTTGGTTTATTGGGCCTTAATGGATATTATTCGATTTTATTGGGCTTAATCAACTTTATTAATTAATTTTTGCAATAATCTAATAAATAATTATTAATAAATAATTTATAAGTAATTAAATTAGTAGTTATAAAATTAAAAAAATGGAAAAAATCATTTTCCCACACTACGGGTATATATACTTATAACACATGCACATATCGCGGTTAGCAAGCACAACATATATATATATATATATATATATATATATATACACACACACACACACACAAACAACACATGACATGCATACATACGATATCAACACATAAAAATATGTACACATAACACATAAAAATGAGAAAATAGGAAAAATAGAAAAATCTCTCGCTGATCTCTCGCAGATCCCTCGCTGATCTGCGAGGCAATGTGAATTGTCACTTCCCTCGCTGATCCCTCGCTGATCTGCGAGGGATCAGCGAGGGATTTTGAATTTTGTCATTTCCCTCGCTGATCCCTCGCTGATCTGCGAGGGA